TAGTCTAATGGGTTGATATCAGCTTCTACAGGCTGCCCCTGCGGGTGAGTATGCAAGAATCAGCCAGATAACCTCTGCTGTTTGTACTATATCCCGAAGGAAAATTCACCAAAAATACAGCAGAGGTGCTGTGCACTCTAGATTGATAATACAAAGAAAAAATTGACAGAGAGTGCTGAATTCTTCTCGCATCAAAAATCGAAGGCAAAGTACAGCAGGAGGGGAGTGTAGGGAGGGGCTCTTCTGTATGACCAAAGGTTGGGGTAAGCGGGCATTTATAGTGCTGTGAGGGTTGATTTGAAGGGGAGCCAAAAAAATAAAACAATTGGGTTCTTTTTCGCTTACGGTCAGCCAGTGTCATCTGGGATCATTTTGCGGTCAGATTACGCGCGAATGAACGTTGGCTGCTCATATTTCCCGTGATTTCAGGATGTGCTGTTCGTGCAATAATCTGTTCGTGTGATATACTAGCGTGTTGCCCTTCGAGACACCTCCCTTTGATATTTGTCGAGTCGCCGATCCTCAGACTCGCTGCAACCTACATACCCCAAAGCGAGTAATACAACGCATGTGTGTGTGAATGTGACTCACATCATATTCATTCATTGTATTGATAGAGCAACCGTACTGTGATACCCCCGCGTGTCTCTTGTATATCTTCGGGCAACTACTATGTGCGTCTCACATCACCCCTCCCCCTAACCATTAACCTCAATTTTGAACCCGTGCCGGAATTCTGGACGATACAAATGTTGCAGCTACGGCGAGAGTAACTCGTGCTCTTGCGGATGAATCAAGAACTATTCGGCGCGCCTAAAAACTACCAGGACAACACGCTGTCAGCACTGCCCTCGCGCGAGACATTGTCAGAGGTTGAGCCGGAGGGTTCAAGAATTTGGTGTTGTGCAGCAGTGTACATAGTTGCTCTGTGAGACACGTTTTGTTTGAACGATATTCCTTGGCTGCACTTTTCGACAGAACTTCGCCCCGTGGGACTTTTGTAGCGCACCACCCGATGTGGTCGAGCCACAACAAATAGAATGGCGTCATAAGCAGTTCGCCGGCAAGAGGGGCGTACTCCCGAGTACAAAAGCGGGCGGGATCATAAGAGTTTGCATCGCCACCTGGAAGATGATGTGAATGAACGTGGTTTCCGCATGCTGAGTGCATGCAGTTGTAGCGCGTGGAACGCGAGAAAATAAATGAGCGGGTGTATTTCGTTTGTTTGAACAAAGTCATACTCGACCGGGCACTGTTGGACGCGGAGATGGGTTGCGCGTCCTCGCTGCACCCGGACGATGTCTTCGAGGGGGGGGCTCGTGGCCGGGCGCCATCTCGACCAGTGTCCACCCCCTCGTGCGGAGTATGTAGGGGGTACTCAGCGGCGGCCGTCGTGCTGCTGTGTCTATGTATCTCTTGTAGGGTGCTGCCGTTTCCGGCAGTACAGATGGCGCCCGCACTTAAGAATCTCACCTAGTTTCGGCCGAGGCTGGGGTTCTTCTTTAGCTGATCATCCTCTTGTGGGCTACAAATGGCCGCTAGAAAGGTTTTAGTGCGGGATTCTTAACCGAGCTCACAAACGGTGCTCAAGTTCTTAGCTTCTGATTTTTTGCGAGTCTAAATTTCTTCACTGCTGACTTCTTAGTGCAGGCGCTATCCGTACAAGAACGGCGGCATCTCCGATGTGCTCCGCGCTTGTTTTTGCGCTCGGCTGTCGCACTCGGGAAACAACGTTTTCGAAGAAACAATTATACGTGGTAAAACGCACCTACACTTTGATGTGGTTGTCCGCGCAGCTTTCGCGGGCCGAGCACTTCGTCTATTTAGCACGAGGAAGGCCTGCTGGATGGTTACACGAGAGACAGGCCTGCTGCGAACAGCAGGATGGGTCCCTACGTACTGCATGGTTATAGGCCATACTTACGTCACATTCACTTTGTTCCGGCCTGAATGAGTCAGCTGCTTTCAGTCGTTGCAGTTCGAACCCACTAAACCAAGTGAAAACCTCACAACAACAAAGGCGTGTGCAGCGGAGTTTAGGCCTGGCCTTTGTGGGGAGGGCCTCGGCAACCTTGCGCGCCATGGCAGGCCACGCCTACTGAGCGCGTTGTACATGTGCACAGTCGTAGTCCACACGACGCATGCATCGCCAGGCAACGTTGTCGAGTGATTCGACTTGAGGTTTTGCATAATAATTCGTTGTTACCGCACAGACGAGCGAATGAACGTCCCATTCAAGAATGAGTCGGGTTAGACTGCGTATTCCACGAGCAATCTACATGCGACAACGATCATCCTTCGCCCGCTGGAGACCGGACATCCGCTCCTCACCCATCGATACCATCGAGAAAACGACAATTGCACGCACCAATTCCGACAAAGCCCATGTACATTCGAAAAATTCCACAATTCGAGTCAACGACGCCGTGTCTCCTCCGTCACAAGCAAAAAACAAAACAAAGAAAGCTTGAAATATTATCGGACTCGACTTTCCAGCGCAAACAAAATTTGGCTCAAACCGTTCAATCATAACGCACAGAGCTCGATCTGGCCATGAATATCTGATGGGCATCCAGTTGCCGACCTTCTGACACTATCCCCTCAACTCACCCTCGAAAGTTTGTCACGACAGTGGTACATACCTAATCTAGTCTGACGCACCGACAGCCCCAGAATCAATCAACCGATCGATATCAGCACCACCTTACATATACCTAACATAACGCTGTACGCGGGCCTAACGTAACGTCGTACGCGAGGCGACATTTAGTGCTGTGTGGAGAGCTTCGGGATTTATCGCTCGAGACCTCATCAGGAATACATCGAGAGCCGATCAGGTCCACATGTCCTCCTCTTTGTCGATCACCTCGAAGCCGTTCAGCGAGAACGATGACGAGGACGTCGACGGCGACGACAGCGTCGCCCCCGTACCCGAAACCTGCCGACCACCGGCCCCGCCTTCTCCGTCCTCCGTTCGGAGACCACGACTACCTCCACCCACGGTGGCCCCACGGAATCCTGCGGCGATCCCCCCTTCCTCCTCGCGGGGGCCGGCGACGTAGTCGCCACCGAGGCGGCGGAAGGGGCGAGGCACGCCCGCCGCCGTTCCCCCTAAGCCGTGTCCGCTCCCGCGGCGGCCGGCTGGAAGAGAGACACCTTCGGAAGGCTCCTCTCCCCACCGTCCGCCCCCAGCGGCCGCCGCCGTCGTCGACGGATACCCCGCCGGTGCGGTTGTAGGCGGCGCACCAGCTCGGCGGGCAGCGAAGGCAACACTGTTGCTGGCGGTTGTAGCAGTTCCAGCGATCGCGGGGGAGCTGAACGACGGAGGAGGAGGTTCGAACGGGACGCTTCGCGAAGCGGACCGCCGCCGCCGCTGCTGCTGCTGCTGCAGCAGTCCGGTAGACCTGCTACCGGCGGTGCTGCTGCTGCTGCTGTTGCTGTTCGAGGAAGCGGAGACTGGAGGGTAAGGCTGCTGTGATCCTGGTGACGGTGCACCAAATCTCCTTGGCGCAGTCTCAACTGTTCCTTCTACTCCCACGAAGGTCTCCGTGGGAAAATCATGGTTCCCCGATTGGGGACTGCGGGCCTTTCTTCGGCCCTCGCAGGCATAGTCACCGCCGTCTTGGCCTCGAGAACCGTCAGCGGCGAAGGAGTCAGCGGAAGCGGTAGCGAAAGCTGCCGGTGGGGACAGCACCTCACTACCGCCGTGGTGGTCAAGCTGACGGGACGGCAAGCCGAAGTTGCCATCGATGCCGACATCGCCGACACCGTCTTCAAGCCGCTGCTGCTGCTGCCGCTTGTCCGCTAGTTGCCCGGCGGCAGAAACGACAGGAGGCGTTACCGCCGACTCCGAAGGCCTCAGCCCCATCCACCTCCACGCGAAACCGGACGGGGGCGCCCCATCGCCGTCCGCGGCGGCGGCGGCGGCGGGGGCACTCAAGCTGCTGCTGTTGGTGCTTCCACCCCAGCTGCCGCCGCCGCCGCCGCCGCTGCCGTCCACCCCACGCCTCCGGTCGCCGAGCTTGGTCCCGAGCAGCGGGACAAAAAGACCCGGCTTACCTCCTCCTCCTCCTCCGCCTGCAGTCATCCCAACCGCGGGGCGACAGCCGGGGGGAGACGAAAAATGATCCTCTCGCCTACCACCGTCGCCGCCCGCCGGGCCCGAGTACGAGGAGGAGCAGGAGGAAGAAGAAAGCGGAGCCGCCGCTGCCGGCGGTGTGTCATTATCGCGGCGAAGGAGCCGGGGCAGCCTGCGGCGGTGGGGGGGAGGGGAAGGGGGCACGAAGGAGATGACTTCCTGTTCGCCGCCGGTGGCGGCGGTTGCATCGCCCCCGGCCTCGCCGCCGTCGTCGGCATCGCACGGGAGGCCGTCGGCGTTGTCCGCAGAGTTCAGGAGGGAGGACGTCGCCCTGCGCGAACAAATGGTTTCCGATGGGTGGGGTGGCTGTGTGGTCGACCACCTTTTCGGCGGTGTGATTGAAATGTATCAGCACAATCAGGCTGAAAAGACGCCACTGGGCACTTCGCCCCAAGAACGCACGAGTCGATTCGATTACAGACGCTAACAACGGCGTAATGAAAGAGGGCGAGGTGGGTGGCATGACATCGGATCGTCACATTCAACCGTTCATCGTTCCCTCACAATACATGCAGCAAGCACGCTGGGTCTACCTCACGCCCTACGCACCGCTCCATGCCAAGAGGAAGACACAAGCCTTCCTGTAGTCGGGATGCATTTATTCATACACGACCACACAGCAAATTCCCACCTCGTCAGCACCACCCTATCCAAAAGCATGTGCGAACGAACCAAGCCCAGTCGAGGTACATTTTGAAGAGCCACATGACAAGCTTCAGTCAAGACCGTCCTTCTCTTCTCAACTTCCCGGGCGTAAGCTCGGGCGAGAAATATCTCGAAGAGCCACATCACACGGCTCAAGCAAGACAGTCTTCTCTTCTCACCTTCCCCGGACGTAGGCCCGGTAGAAATGAGCCGAGACAGCGAGCGTGGCGAGAGACATCCCCACCATTCGAGGGCCAGCGGCGGAGCCTCTGAGGGCCAGCAGCAGCACGAACACCAGCGCAGCGTGCACGTACCCACTGCAAAGGGAGCGACAGCGACAGGTCGTGTGGGGTGAAAATGGGGGGGCGGTGGCGGAGACATTTGAGCAGCAGACCATCGTGTGGTGAGCAGCGAGGACAGAAAGCGGCATCAAAAAATGCGCGTAGTGGGGGGGGCGGGGGGGGGTACTCTGACGTAGGCGCATGCCGTAGTCGCTAGACCATTGAGTAGTAGGGTCATTCGGAGAGTAGACCATTGTGTGGGGAAAACAGCGAGGACACAAAGCCGCAAAACAAAGCATGCCTCGTGGTGGTGGCGGAAGCACTAGGAAAGCAGACAAATCGCGAGTAGATAAGCTTGGACACAAAAGCAGCTTGGGTTAAAACTCCCACGAACGGTGCATGATGCGTCCCACCGGTCCGCTGAGAGGAACGACAAACAGACGGGGGCGACGGCACAACCCACTGGTGTGAGCGGGAGATGTACATCCATACTTTTACACACAGGTGTCCAGGGTTAGGGCTAGGGAGTACACTGCAATGAGGGGACCTGGACTGTTGGCCGGCATCCGACGCTGCCTAGATTGAGAAACAAAGGAAGACGCTCCTCGACAAAAATGCTGACAAAAAAAGTACCGGCACAGAATCAGCTGAACATCTGGAGACCGGTCGTGGAAAATTGTTTTTTTGAGTCGGTACAGAATGTTCTCCGCATCGAAACGGCCTGCACAGAGACAGGCAGGCGGGCAGACAGGCAACATCAAGCACACCACATCTCTCACGATGACACCTACACCATCAGCGTCCGCGTGGAGACGACGACCCGAGGTTGCCGTCGTCACTCTCGGACAACCAAGTCTCCCTCCCACTCGCCGTTCGGACTTCAACGCACACCCTTCCCTTCGACCACCGTGGTACAAACTCTATCTCTAACGAGCACAATGCCTTTCTGTGATTTCTATTCGTATGTTCAACAGGAAAAGACCGCACCTAGAGATCGCGAACATGGTGGCCGAGAGCCTCGACAGCAGAGCGAACAGCACCAGCAGGTGCCCGTACAGGAACACCCCGTTCGCCAGCAGTAGGCACGCCAGCCGCGCCCTCTCCCTCCCCTCCCCCCAGTCGCCCGCATCCCCGACCCCTATCCCTGCCCCCTCGCCGGACAAGACGGGCCCCCCAGGCTGCTGGCGGTCTATTTCCATAACTCCCACCCCCCAAAGGTGAGGCAGCAGGCGAGGAGAAAGGCCGGCGGCGGCACGAGGCACTTCCACTACTAACAAAATCAAGGACTGAGAGGGGGGGGGGGCGGGGGGGGAGGGGCACCGCGGGAAGGGGTGTAGCAGGCGGCGAGATCATTAATGGTGGTTTTTCGTAGTGTCATTGCTGGTTCTACACTTCTCGTTTGACGTACTGGCAGGGGTGGGTCACGACGGACTGGAGGAGGCTTTCACAGAGAAGAGTCTTCGTTTCGTGCCAACGTCATCACAGACACCTCCAAACGAAGCGCCATTGCACAGTTCGCTCTGGTGGGGCAACGCACCAGCAAGCGAGAAGAGAGGGCAAAGATTTCTATAGATATTTGGTCCACCTCCTTGCTAGAGAGGGATGGTCATTCGATCCGAGAGAGGGGGGGGGGGGGGGGGG